TTGCAGACGGCTTTATAGAATTAGAGCTGGGAGAGCACTCAGCACAGCCACAGGGGGGCTGCTGATGGATGTGTCACACAGACACACTTTCAATAGTGGAAAACACTAAACACACACACTAATGAGGAGCTGCAGGGATGCCTATAGGGACAGTCCTGTGTTTCAAAGTGGAGAAGACCAGGAAGAGAATAAGAGACATTGTAGAAGGTTGTATATTTGGTTGCACTGTACTTCTCTTTAATACATCCACCCATACATACATTTGAACCATTCACTCATATGTGTTCATTCGCATAAAACTCTGTATTACGTTTTAAAATATTATATATTTAGTTTTATTAAAAAAAAAAAATAAAAAAAAACCTTTGGAACTTAGTCGAGAATGTTCAAGCCTGTTACCAAAACTTCGGTTCACGATTAACATTTAAAATAGACATTGTTTAGTACTTTGTATATTTTTTCTTTCAATGAACATCTTCACAGTGGGTGGTCCTGACATGTAATATTGGCTTGTCATGTCATTCTGCTCATGTAGCTTTGTGTGCCTGTGTGTGTGTCATCTGAGGAGCAAACAACCCTAAAAATCCCACTGTATGGAAAGAAGCATATTGCACTATTGAGTGTTACTAACAGACCCTAAATATACTTATTTGATTTGTTTCTTCATACATTAGAAGCCATTTTTCATAGAATTTGAATGAAATATTATTGTTAGCCAAATATTTCATGAACCACTGGTCAGATTTTACTGGTACTTGCAGGAAATAATCATTAGCTATACTTCTACAAATTGTAAAATTTGGGAGTCAACCATATTTAAATAGTTGCCACATCCAGCTAAATGAAGATAACACAAAAAGTAGTATAATTCAGGTACCGGTAATTTTACAGATTATGTGCTAAAATTGTGTGTTTTTGCTAAAAGACCTTTCCAACACACTTTCAAGTCAACTTTATTGTCATTACCGTCAAATGTGGTACATGAGGTGGAACTAAATTTTGTACACATGGTCCCAGTTACACCAAAATAGCAAAGTATAAAGTATAATAAACATATACACTAATATATATACTAAAACAAACGCTGAACGGTACGCAAAAGATCTAAGACATATGCTAAACACTAATAATGTAAAACGATATGGTGTATCAACAGCAGCTTGAACATGAGTCTGTGGTGAGCAGATGGGTATGAATGAATAAAGTAGCATGAGATAATCAGCAGCATGAGATCAGCAGCATGGATAATCAGCAGCACAGATGTCACATATCACCATTTAAAGTGGTATTACAGTGATGTTTCTGGTTAGGGATTTATGAGTCTTAACAGCTTTAGGGTAGAAGCAGTTCCACAGTGGTTCTACACTTAATGCTCCTCAACTTTCTGCCTGAGCAGAGCGGGGCAGAAAGTGTGTGTGCTGGGTGAGTGGGGTCCTTCATGATGCAGGTGGCCCTCTTCTTGCATCTGGAGGTGACTTTGAGCACTAACTGATTGCACAAGATCTGTTTTTAAAGACTTGCCATTAATTTTATGTGTCAGTCATGTTTGTAGTCTTGCAAAATGAGCATGAACCAAAAGATGGAGCTCTGGGTCATTCATACAATTTACTGTACTCTTGAGTGTGGCATCTCACAATAATTTATGAGATGTTAAGATTATTTTCAGGATTGGACTAAAGTGGCTACAGTACATTGATATCATGTTTTTAAACATAAAATAATCTTTCCCTATTTAGCAAGAAAAACAGTTTGCAATATGAATTAATTCAATGATTACTAGGTCTAATGATAGGTTGTTTGGTTTGAGTAAAAGGAAGAAGCATGGGATGAATGGATGAATAGATGGATGTTTTCACAGTTCAGAGGATATTTGCCACCAAAATAAACACTTTTTGATGACTCACCTGAAATTCAAGCGTCACATCCTGTTTACATGAATAACCAGGTGCAGATGATGACTTCCAGAGTAACTGTATATAATGAAACAATTTGGCTGTGGGTGAAAATGAATGAAGGTCATCTGCTCAATTCCCTGCTGGGATACGAATATTAACCAGCATCCTAATAGAGGCACAGGTGTGTGTGTGTGTGTTGGAGGGGTTAAGCTGTGTAAAGCTCAGAGCAGGCTGGTTGGTTTGTGTGATCTAACCAGTAAGAGGCTTAATGTCTGCACTGGGACCGACTAGGCCTCAACTCTGGAAGAAACAGGGGCTCTGTCACACGCCAGCACACATCAATTTGTTTGCTCTTTCATACTGGTGAGGATTCTTGTTAGCCTAATACTCTTAATGCTCGTCTTGATCTTGATTGAAGTGGAACTCGGTCACTAGCTGCGTATTGACCTGTCAGGATTTTCTTACTGTTGAGCAAAAAAGTGAAGTTTTTCCTCTAAAAGTGCGTCACTGTACCATATTCACACTTTCTAAATATACTCATGAAGGCGTGCATTTGACGGCACAGAAATATCCAATAAACAAATTAATTAACAACCCACTTTCATTCGGAAATGGTTCAGTAGCTGACTAATTGTAACCCTAAAACAAAAGACTGAGAGTAAAACGGCGAGCGCTGAAATTCAGGCAGATGGTGAACAAGAGGGAAAGGAAAGATAAAGACAGAAGGTTGTAGAACGCTACAGCAAGGATTGATTAATATAGGCTATTAAGCTATAACACCAGATCATAGTCTTGTCCCTCTGGCCATATTACAGTGACATGATGGAGCGCCTGCATTAGCCAAGGGAGAGTACTAGTGATGCAGATAATAGCCACATCCCAGGAGACCTGCAAAGGGAATTAATGCTGGCGTCTGAGGCGTACAGACATGGATGCAGACACACGTGTCCCGACACACACAGACCCTGAAAGAAAATTTACATAAATGAATTTTCTTTTAAAGAACTCCTCCCCTACCGTTTAACTCCATTGATTTTTGCAGTAGAATTAAATAAAGTGGAAAGGATGATTATTCTGGTATCTATGTCTAGACACAGACTTGTAAATAGTTTTTCACCACTGTTAAGCTTCTAAGGCCTCCGTGCTGTAATTTTCATGGTTTTATAATGTGCATGTATGTGCATTACTTGTAAAGTTCTCGTAGCAAAACATGCTGATATAACGGTTAACTTCAAAATGATTTATCCACATGTGCTGTAATAAAGTTTAGGAAAGGGTTGGCTGTGGGAAGGAGTTAAAGAGTAGAGGAGGAGCTATTTAAAAGAAAACACATATATGTACATTTTGGCATGTATGCTATCTATATTTTAGGAAATTGCTTTAAGGTGGCTGCTTTTGACTTTTACAATAAATAAAAAACTTAAGGAAGTGGTAAGAATGATTGGAAGCCTTATTTGAAGCTTTTCATTCAATAGTCTGTGGTTCTATCTGACTCAACACTTCTAAAGTTATTTTCTATTTTTCTACTTTCCTGTCACTTACAATTGCCTAAATTTCAATAATGAAAACACAATTAGGTTTAAAAGCAACAAAAAAAGTATTAAAAAGTAAAACAAATGCAAGTGATATTATTTGGAGAAAGGCATAACACCCACCACCATTCATGCTAAACTTTAATACCATGTTATATGATCCGTTTAAAAATGAATGCATTAGAGGTGACTCTGAACTACTACTATACCAAAGGTTAGTTTAATATTTGTAAAAATGCCCAACAAAGTTAATCTGGATGGTCTCTTTGTTTGTTGATGTTTCTTCCTTCATCCAAAGGACTTCTTCAGTCCGAGGAGCTGCAACAAACCACAAGCAGCACACTCACACAGTGGGCCAACCAGTTTTCTGGTGATAAGATATTTTTTGGGGGCCTGCCCTCTCCCCCGTTGACTCCTCTGAAGCAGCCATAACCAAAGTGGTTCAAAACATCAAAGTTCATACTCAATAATTATTAAAAATGATTCATTCATAGCCACTTATGTGTTTGCGAAAGTTGATTAGCCATGGTGGTCCTCTTATATCATGTTGACTTGGTATGGTGGGGCAGCGGTTAGAGCTGTTGCATTACATCAAGAAGGTTGCAGGATTGCTGAAGCCTTTAGAGTGTGCATGTTCTTTCCGAGCATGCATGGGTTTCATCATGTACTCCTGTTTCTTCCCACAGACCAGAATCATGCATGTATAATAATGTTAGGTTCATTTAGAAACCCTAAACAGTTCCTAGGTGTGAGTGAGCTGAGTGTGTGAATGGTTGTTTGTCTCTGTGTCCCTGTGATGGACTTGCAGTCCATCCAGGTTTCCCCCGCCTCTCACACAGTGACTGCTGGAGGTATGCACCAGTTCCCTGCAACCTGGAAAGTAAAAAGAGGGAAAAGAAAATTGATGAATGGGCGCACTTTACCAGCTAATTAGTTGTGTAAATATACAAGCAATGATTTTTCGATAAACATTAATTGCATGAACATCTACCATTTATGTCAGCAGGGGGAAAGTCGTTAAAAAAAATCACGTAAACATTCTTACACGTTTCTGTGTTTTATGTTCTGTGGATAGACTTGTGTATTAAATATTCTGAATAAAAATTAGGCTGAAATTTTGACTGAGCTTTGAAACCATCCATCCAACTATCCATCCATTCATCCATCCATCCATTAATTATCCTTAACCCGCTTCTTCCTTTTTCTTATATTAAAATCAAACAAAAAAGTGTAAATTAATGGGCAACAATTAAATCTTTGTGCACGTCAAACTAAACTACAAATATGTAATAAAGTCACAAAAATAACTACATTTACTGTACTTATAGTTTTCCAAATTCTTATTTAGATCTGTTTTATACATTAGATCTGATTTACACATTAAGACCACATTGCAAAGGATTTATTTCTTTTTTTTACTGTGCACTTTTCCTCATATTTTATTGTATCCATTTATTTTTAATGAAACTTTAGCAAGTTCAAAAAAACTAATAAATAGTTTGGGACTTGGGACAAATACTCATGTAATGATTTATTTGAATGTTTTACAATGTTTGTCTTCTTTGTGCCTCAGTGGGAAGAAATTGGAGAAGTAGATGAGGACTATGCCCCCATTCACACCTACCAAGTGTGTCGTGTCATGGAGCAAAACCAGAACAACTGGCTGCACACCAACTGGATCCTGACTGAAGGTGCCCAGCGAGTATACATTGAGCTCAAGTTCACCCTGAGAGACTGCAACAGCCTGCCTGGAGGGGTCGGGACATGCAAGGAGACTTTTAACATGTATTACTATGAAACGGATGGCGATGAGGATGACATGGATGATGGAGGGATGAGGGATGGTGTTGGAATGACTGAGGAGGAAGACAGGGCAATGAAAGAGAACAGATACATCAAAGTTGACACCATAGCCGCTGATGAAAGTTTCACTGAGCTGGACCTGGGGGATCGCGTGATGAAGCTCAACACAGAAGTCCGTGATTTAGGACCTCTGACCCGGAAAGGCTTCTACTTGGCGTTCCAGGATTTAGGAGCCTGCATTGCTTTAGTCTCAGTGCGGGTATTCTACAAACGCTGCCCGTTCTTGGTAAAGAGTCTGGCGGAGTTTTCTGACACCATCCCAGCCTCGGAGGCTTCACAGCTGGTGGAGGTGGTGGGTCGCTGCATCAATAACTCGGTGCCTTTGTACGAGCCTCCACGGATGCACTGCAGCACAGAGGGAGAATGGCTGGTGCCCATTGGGAAGTGTGTTTGCAAGCCAGGGTTTGAAGAGCTCAGTGGATCTTGTCAAGGTAAGATGAAAATTCCTAAATGATACTAAAATGATCACATAATTAAGGAGAACTTGACTAAATTGTAAATGGTAAATGGACTGTACTTCTTTAGTGTCTTTCTATCTTATCAAGATACTCAAAGCGCTTTATACTACAATCTATGCCTTCATTTACCCATTCATACAGCACTCCACTATCAGAATCAGAATCAACGTTGTCATTGTACAGTTAAGTACAGCAAAACTTTGTTCTGTACAACCGTCTGAAGGACAGATGGAAGTATACCGGGGCTGCGGCTCCCTATGAGCGCTGCCCTTATTGCTTAGGTAAGAAAACATGAGGAGACAAGGTATTAAAAAAAGATACAGTATCACACTGTGTCCTTGACACAAGACACGGTGTAATGTAGTAAAATATCTACCTCAGCAAGTAACATAGAGAGAAATTATGCATTTTGCGGGGCAAGACGGTGAGATTGTCCATGAACACTTCCAAATAGTTTCCGTAGCCCTGATAAAGATGTTACAGTGTCACTCAACCAGTCTGATAATGGTCCACAGACGTTCTCGGTGGGGTGTAGGAGGGGATCGGAGCATCTTGTTCCCATAACATACAAGAAGAAAATGAGGTAGTCAGCCTTCCAAGGCCAGATTCAGATTTCAACATTGTTTTGGGGTCAGGCCAAGTGCTTTAATTTCCACGTCTGCCTTTTACAGTCTCGCTAGTACATCTTGACTCCAAACAGACGAATTGTGATTAATTACGCCGAAGTCGGGCTTACAATTTCTCCCAGAGCTCTTCCTTCCAACTGTCCGTGAACACTACATCTTTACTACATCTATACAAAGAATAATCAGAGCTTTATCACATTCATACACTGGTGGGACACACATTGAAGGCAATGAGGGGTTCAGTGTTTTTCCCAGGGACTTGGGCATGTGACAGCTGGTGGAATCGAACCCCCAACTCTTTTATTGAAGAACGACTGCTCTAACCACTCGTTCACAGCCACCCAACTAAGATCCTAATCTTTCAGTTTCTTTTCTTTTTTCTTTTTCTTCATTATCCAGATCTCCCATTTTCATTTGTATTTCAGGTTTGTGTGTGCACTTGTGTTTTGTTATGATTGCTAACTTCATCCTGTTTTTATTTTCTCATCCATTCTCATGTTTATTTTTAGGGCTATGAGCCTTACTGTGTGTGCAAAGATCAGCGTGTTCTTTTTCTGAGAGTGTTCTTATTTTGTGTGCATGTGTGCGTGCATGCAAGTGCGTGTTTCTTCTTTGCTTAGTGGAGGGCATTCCCCAGAGCCCTGCAGCACTTTGCTGCTCTCATAAAGCCACTGCTCTGCTTTGACTCGTGCCCAGACGTTCCCTGCTCCGACCTTAACTGCCATTTCCACGGGCACCCAGCGCCTCTGTCCTTTTTGTTTCTCTCTTCATTCTGTCTAGCCTTTTTCTTTAGCCTTTTTGAATTACTCAATTCACTGACTTGCACTCCCTGTTCATATGAAACCCAGAGTATCTCAAACTACAATGGATTTTTTTTTTTCAGTTATCATTTATTGAAGCAGTAAAGGGTATGAAAACAACAAATGGATGTGTTTACTAGGTACAATGCTTATCTTCACACCAAGTGTTACTGTTTAGGTATCCATTTCAAGTGATGAACTAACTGATTTGTCTCAGATCTGCTGCTACAAAAGAAAACCTCTTCAAGTCTACAAATTCAAAGATCTGCTTAATGTTATAGCTTTAGAATCCCAATTATCTACATGAAAATTAGTATGAAAATTGAACAATGTTTGCAATTTTTTATTACTATGAACACTTTCAGTTCTTGAATGTTAATTTTATTTAAAAAATGCACACAAGTCTTATTTTTAATTACCTTGTCTGGAGCTAATACAATAATTTTTGAGTGTCATCAGAGCTGATTAAGAATACGTTACACAAAGTGGCAAACACACAAATACTGAGTTGGGTCATGCATTAAAGAAATACAAAGCTCTTCAAAGTTTTTAGTTTTGTATGTACAAACAATATATCATGTCATGAAGTAGTCAAACTATTCTTTTGGAAGGAGAAATTCTACTTCATTCATGTAATCATCCACATTCCAACAAAACCTTTATTTGAACAGCTGTTTCTATCTGACTTAATTTGAATCTACTCCACTCATTCTCAATAAAAGCAAAAACTTACTTTTTTTTTAATCTTTGTTTTTTTTTTAATGATGCACGATATTGGATTTTTGACTGATATCCGATATGCCGATATATGTTAAAATTATTTGCCCGATAACCAATACCTATACCGATATATTTTTTCCCCCTAGCCCTACTTACAGAGACTACATAGCTTTCTCTGCTGTGGAATTATGATACTACATTATGCTGCATGGTCTTTGTCAGTTTGGCCTGAAAACAAATGCAGATGCCAAAAAGGGGCTGAAAATGATGTAACACTTCAAGTTGGATTATGTTTAATGTCAAATTTATATATATATAAAAACGCCTTTTATATCGGTGCGTTATTTTGATGGGATGGTTAATGTCCGATATTTTATTACTAATTCCGGCCGATACCATGCCGACAATATTGTGCATCCCAAGTTTTTTTAATGCTTGTCCTTTTTAGCAACATTTTTACAGAACAATTTTCAGTTGAGTTTCTCGTAAAAAA